CCTCAGCCAGGGTCAACCCACCACAGTGCTGAAGTCCAAAGTCCTTCAAAAGACCTTCAGTATTTGTAAAGCTTATAGACAAAAGGGAAATAAGCAAGCAGTTCTGAAATTTGCCCTGTGCGTCGCTTTCTTTTGCATAAAGGAGAGATCTGGTTGTACAGGAGAGCTGTCTCTAGTTTTGCTCTTAGATAATAACCATTCAGACTTCAAAAGGGCTTTTGGCCTAAATCACAGGGTAGCAGGAGCTAAAAATGACCTAGAACTCTAATAGAAACGTTCTTCTGAGAGCCTGAAAGTACATATAAATGTGTGTATGCACATGAACAGATATGCATATGTGTATATACATGTGCGTATATGCACACATACATGCAAAAATCCAGCCAGGCTGCAGGAAGAGGGGCAGTCTTGCTACATCAGTTCACTGTGCAAAGCTAATGGTGTCTCAGATGTAGCAGAGATATTGTGTTTTTCAACTTTTCCCTAAGTAAGGTCTGACCAGACTGTGTTATTCTTGTCCATTCCTCTTTGCTACTCCACCCCTATACTTTGTATTTTGGTAACTTTTCCCTAGCAAAGAAAGTTAGATGCCGTTTGGACAGTCAATACGTGTTGTTTGGCAGAGCGAGCTGTACTTAGAGCAAGGTTAGAAGGGTATAGGCAATAGGAGGGATAAGGCAAAGGGGAGATCCTAGCTTTATTTTGCAACATGGCTGCTACCTGTGAGAAAAGTAGTGAAGATGTGTTGTGCAAATAGATTGTGGCTTCATTGAACCAACAGATGGCTTCTGAACAAAAGCTGATGTGATACACTCTGATTTTTTTTTTATGTTTTCAATGGCAAAGCAAATTATGATAACTAAGCATTCAAGGTTTTTCTTTTTTCTTGGAGAGGAAGGTGAATCTTTGATAAAGTGTTGCTTTGGTCCTGTAATCCTGCACAGAACAAACAAATGGTCGCTTATGTGTCCTTTTGTAGCCTAAGGTGGATCACAGATTATGGGTGTGTCCTAGTTTCAGCTGGGATAGAGTTACATTTTCTTCCTAGCAGCTGCTTAGTGCTGTGGTTTGGATTTAGGATGAGAATAACGTTGACAACACAGTGATGTTTTAGTTGTTGCCAAGCAGTCAAGGACTTTTCAGCTTCTCATACTGCCCTGCCAAGGAGAAGCGCGGGGTGCCCAAGAAGCTGAGAGGGGACACAGCCAGAACAGCTGACCCAAACTCGACCAAGGGATATTTTATACTGTGTGACATCATGCTCAGTATATAACTGGGGGAGTTGGCCAGGAGGTGCACAGCTCAGGAACTAGCTCAGCGTTGGTTCTGAGTGGTGAGCAATTGTGCTGTGCATCACTTGTTTTGTATAGTCTTTTATAATTATTAATACTATAATTATTTCTTTTTTTTCCCCTTTCACTTCTGTCCTATTAAACTGTCTTTATCTCAACCCACAAGTTTTACCTTTTTCTTTCCGATTCTCTCCCCCATCCCCCTGGGAAGGGGGGAGTGAGCGAACAGCTATGTGGTTGATACAGCTGCCGGCCAGGTTAAACCACAACAGGGTGGTGGGGAAAAATTTTCGTAGTGGGATGAGTTATGATGTATTATTGATCTCCCAACAATCAGAAGGCTTCACTTCTTTCTGCCAGGACAGTGGATTTCAACCTGTGGTCCACAAGACTGCTGGGGTTTTGTGACTTGTTTCTAAACAGGCCAGCAGGTCGAGGGAGGTTATCCTCCTCCTCTACTCTGCCCTGGTGAGGCCACATCTGGAGTTCTGTGTCCAGGTCTGGGCTCCCCAGTTCAAGAAAGACAGGGAACTAGTGGAGAGAGTCCAGTGGAGGGCTATGAGGATGATGAGGGGACTGGAACTTCTCTCGTATGAGGAAGGGCTGAGAGCTGGGTCTGTTTAGCCTGGAGAAGAGAAGACTGGGAGGGGATCTTATCAATGCTATAAGTATCTGAAGGGTGGATGTCAAGAGGATGGGGCTGGACTCTTCTCCGTGGTGCCCAGTGACAGGACAAGGGGCAACAGGCACAAACTGGAACACAGGAAGTTCTACCTGAATATGAGGAAAAAATCTTCACTCTGAGGGTGACCGAGCAGTGGAACAGGCTGCCCTGTTGTGGAGGTTGTGGAGTCTCCTCCTCTGGATATATTCAAAACCCACCTGGACACAATCCTGTGCAACCTGCTTTAGGTGATCCTGCTTTAGCAGGGAGGTTGGACTAGATGATCTCTAGAGGTCCCTTCTAACCCCTACCATTCTGTCATTCTGTGATACCATTCTGTAAAGACTCAACAGAAGGTGAGAAAAGTAAACCTTTTGCTGGTAGGATTCAATTCCATAGGACCTTGCACCGTCACTGGAAATTTTAGAGGGCTACAAGATTGAGAAAAAATTTGAAACCCACTGATGAATCATAAGAAAGCCTGTTACACCTGCCAAACAAATGTTTCTGCAGTCGAAGTACCTACAGATTGCTTTGATGCTTTTTTTCCTGCTCTACTGTAAGGTCAGTCATTTTTTCTTCCAACCTGTTCATTGTCATATAATAAGAATCTTTCCCTCCCTCCCCTTTGATCTTTACCTGATCAGAGTGTGGAGGTGCAAGGCTCTGGTAACCTGGCCACAGCAGTATCATCCATTTTTATGTAACCTCGATGCTGAACAGCTTGCTTAGGTGTTTCACAGTGTCGCAAACTTACGTTGACACTTCCCCCCAAGGATAACCTGCCATAAATTCAGTGATGGCACCAGTGTAATTTCTAGTCCTAATTATATATTTATGTTTATATTGAAAGTAGTAGGGGGGTGGGTGGGTAAGATGTCTCTAGCAAGTTGGCTGAGTGATTTAGTAGGGCCTTTTCTGTAACTTTGATCACCTAACACGAGTATGCTTTTTAAAATAGTGCTACATACACTACACACAAAGATTATGTAACAATTTTTCTATTGTAGTTACTGTGGTCTGAGTTATATTTATTTCAAAAGACATAATCTAATGTAGTTCACAGCCCTGAATGCAAAACTGATACTTAAAAAATAGTGGACAATTATTCAACAACTAACTGTACATAAAAGACTTCACAGAAAATAGATTCTATGATTTTAAAATTAATAAGAAAATCAATCTAAGGCTAACACAGATCACGGGTGTGTTCACTTTTACATAAAGCAGTAATACATTTCAAACAATATACAATTATGGATGTCTAGAAGGATCCTTCTAGATGTCTGTCTAGAAGGATCCTAACAGAAGCAGGCACCCTCCTCTTGATTCCTTTAATCTGAGGTACTGTATTACAAGCTGTACGCTACTAATGCTGGCCACACTTGCAATGGATGAGCAAGGTGCAAATTCACAGAATCTGAAGCCCTTTTGGACAACTGTTGGTAAACTCCACAGCAGTTGGTTAGGTCTGCCGTGTGCCCAGCTCAGGGTACCAGCCCACTCAGGACCTTGGGGCATGAGGCACTCTGAGCACTCTGCCGGCTTCTCCCCTCAGCCTCCTGAGGGGCAGTGCCTGTCTGGGGCAGTTTGAAATGTTAAGTGTCGCTGCCTGTGCCAGGGTGAGGGTCGGCACCCAGAAGTTGGTGGCAGGATCCCCAAGATGGAGATGGGGTGGTGGGAGGGTGTACCTCCTGCAGCTGAGAAAGACAAGGGCTGTAGCAGATTGGACTTCATCCCAGACATGCTTTCAGTGCTGAAAAGAAAGAAGTGAAGAGTTCCCAAAAGATAACAGCTGTGGCTATGTCGAATCCCAGCACTATGTGCCAAAAAACCAGTGTGCATAGCTGTGCTGCACAGGACATCCTGTCTTACCACAGTCCACATCATGGTGTTATAGCTGTGTTTTGATGGAGCTGTTCCCTAAAACAGGGATGGCAGCCAAGTGGTAGATGTACCTGTAAGCTCTCTCTTCCCGGTGCTCTGCAAGCACAAAGCTTTAGAAGGGCTGTGACATCTGTAACTAAGGTGCGTTGCTGCAGGAATGTAGCAGCTGTGGTGTAGACAGGCTTTGTGGTTTTATACTTGGTGCTATTAGTTTGCCTCTGTATTATTGAATGTAGTGGAAGTTAATTCCTCCCTGGTTCTAACTTTTTTCTTGGGGTGGTGTGTGTGTGTATAGCTGTAATAGCTATAGTAAGGCAGATGTTAAGAAGGGGCACCAAGGAGTGCTATGTCCTAGTAACCAGCTAGGAGACTAGTATGTCTGTACTTTTTCATTTTCCAAATACTTTTTTGAGCTGAAATAGTCTGTTCCTGATCTCCACTGCCAAATTGTCCGTTAATAAAAAAAGTGAACGAAGTAAAAGCCACCCTCTGAGCAATTAAAACAGATTTTCACCCCTGTGGTCTAACCAAATGATCCCTTTGCTCAACACAAACATCCGTGACAAGGAGTGTGAAGCTGAGCTGAGGCCCCTCCTCACTGTCTGCTCAGAAGGAGAAACACCCATTAATTTGAAAATGGAGACTATAAAAAGCTGGGAATGTGCTTGTGGTAGTCTGATTTATTTGTTCCTCCCCACAAGAGCCTCCGTACATGCTCAAAGAGCAGGGGATGGATGTCTCGAGGTGCCTTCGCAGCCCTCTGAGATGTACCCACAGGCAGCAGGACGCCGTTTCCACGGGGGGAGGGCGGAGGCAGCCGCAATGCTGCTGCTCGTCCCCAGCTGCGGCCCTTCCCGCCGAGGGGCAGTTGGAGGCCTGAGGGCAGTTATCCCTGGGGCAGGGCCCTCACAGGCTCCATCCCCTCCCAAAGCGGGGTGTGGGGCGGCACCGGCCAGCGGCGATGGGGGCACTGCTGGGGCTGCTGGCGCTGCTGGGCCTGGCGGGGTGCTCTGCTGTCCCGGAGGACCTGTCCGGGGAGCTGCATGTCTCCGCCATGTGGGTGACAGTGCCACGGCAGTTGAGCCCCCGGGCTGACACCAACCCCCTGGTTGTCTTTTACTGGTTGGAGGTGGAGGGGCGGCCGTGGGTGCTGCGCCTGTGGCCCCGGCGGGGCCTGGTCTCCCACCCCTTCACCTTGGTCACCTACGGCAAGGACGGGGCCCGCTGGGAGGAGCACCCCTTTGTGCAGGACAACTGCTTCTACCAAGGTGAGGTGCAGGGGAGCCCCAGCTCCCTGGTGGCCCTCGGCACCTGTGGCAGGGGGCCCCACGGCGGGCCCTGGGGGGAGGATGGCACCTATGAGATCGAGCCCATCCCCAATGATCCAGCCTTCCGGCACATCCTCTACCGCATGGAGGAGGCCAACAGCCCCATGGGCCCCACCTGCGGGCTCACCCCGGAGCAGCTGCAGCACCAAAAGGCTTTCCTGCCCTGGTTCAAGGCCTCCTGGATGACGGAGGAGGAGGAGATGCTGAAGGACTGGTGGACACATGTCAGGTACATGAAGATAGTAGTGGTCGTGGACAACGTGCGGTTTGTGAAGTCGGGCAGGAACGAATCTGAAGTCTTGAGGCAAGTTGTAGAAATCATCAACATTGGGGACGCTCTGTACGAACAGCTTTCTGTTCGGCTGTTTCTTGTGGGATTGGAGATCTGGACCAAAAGTAACCTTATAAACATTACTAACTCTGTCACCAAGGCACTCGATGACTTTAACAAATGGCGAAAGTCAGACCTGTCTCCACGGATGCGCCATGATACTGCTCACTTATTTGCATTTCAGAGTTTTGGAAAGAGCCTGGGATTGGCATTTCTAGGGTCTGTGTGTGATAACCAGTGGTCATCAGCAGTTGCTTCCTTCACTGATAGGAAGTTGTCCTCATTTATTACCACGTTTGTCCATGAGCTGGGCCATACTCTTGGGATGAGCCATGATAAACAGGGCTGTAAATGCAGACGGAAGAAATGTATTATGTACGAAAGCGATGCTGACACTGATGCTTTCAGTGACTGCAGTTACAAAGATTACTTTAACCTGCTTGGGCGTGGTGCCAGCTGCCTTCGTCAACCACCAGCACCTGGCACTTTCTACACCTTGAAGCATGAATACTGTGGGAATAAGATAGTAGAAAGCAGGGAGCAATGTGACTGTGGTTCAGAATCAAACTGCAGAAAGGATCCTTGTTGTCACCCAAACTGTACATTTACTGCAGGTTCAGTCTGTGCTTCGGGAAAATGCTGCAAGAGCTGTCGGGTCCTTCCAGCAGGAACGCTCTGCAGATCAAGTACTGGCAACTGTGACCTCCCAGAGTATTGCAATGGCACTTCCCCTCAGTGCCCGCCGGATGCGTACGTACAAGATGGAACCCCTTGCAAAGGTGGTGCTTATTGCTATCGAGGAAAATGTTCTTCTCACAGAAAACAGTGCCAGCACCTCTTTGGCAAACGAGCCAGGGCTGCTCCTTTAGATTGCTTCAAAGCAGTGAATACTCGAGGTGACCGGTTTGGGAATTGTGGTATTCGTAACAATATCCATTTTATAAAATGCAGTATCGAGAATATCTTATGTGGTAGGATCCAGTGTGAAAACATAGACAAATTGCCTTTCTTGCAGAACCACGTAACACTAGTTCAAACCCCTGTTGGAGATAAAAAGTGTTGGGGTCTCGACTATCACGTAGGGATGCCAATAATTGATGTGGGAGCTGTGGAAGATGGCACACCATGTGGTAATGATATGCTTTGTATCAACAGGACATGTACCAGCATATCACTGCTGAACTACGATTGTAACAAGTCAAAGTGTCATGACAAAGGAGTGTGTAACAATCATAAGAACTGTCACTGCAGGTATGGTTGGGCTCCTCCGTATTGTGAACGGGAAGGATTTGGAGGTAGCGTTGACAGTGGACCCCCTCCATCCATTCAGGGAGCAAAAATTCAGGGAGTAACATTATTTAGTCTTCTTTTTCTCTGCATCCTTGGAGTAACCCTTACCATGTGTTATAAACGGAAAATAGTGGGGTGGCTTAGGAGGAAAAAGGCCCAGTTCCACAGAAGAAGATAGAAGTTGTTTCAAATACTGGAAACACCAGCAGTTCGTAAAGGAGAACACCTGCTGGTGAGTCAAAATCCACCACAAAGCACCTGCCGAAAAACAACAAGCAGTAGCGTTGGATGCTCCTGGGGAAATCTCTCTTGAGCAGAGGCTCATCAAGATAATTCAACATGTTCTGAATAGTTCTAATCTCATGTGATATCATTAAATGCAAAGTGTTATCTTTGTTTAGTTTAAGTTAATAAATGCAGGCAGTAAGACCTGCTGTTCTTTGCATCTTGAGCTCTTAAACTGAAGTAGTTAGGTAAACTGTAGGTATAGCTTTTATGCTTCATATCAAGTTTACAAATTTAAACTTCTTAAAACAGATGTAAATAAATTACTTGCTCCAATTTACCCCTCCATCTAATGTTTTCTCCAATTAACGGGGAGAGATGTTTGTGAACTTCTTGCTTCTGTCGTTCATTAATAACCAAAGAGAAAAAATTGCTTTTGCAGTCTCCATTTAATTCACATCTGTGACACGCAAGCAGGCAAGAAACAGGTATTGCAGTGAGATGCAGGTGTCTGTGGCATAAGCCCTTCCGACTGTTTCCAGGAAGGTACCCCTTTAGGAGGGAGGTAGATCGTGGGGAACAGGGTCTTCACTTTGTGAGACAGTAGCGAAGTATCCAGATCAGGCCAGTAAGCGTTACATTTCTGAACTATCAGATGTACGTCAAGAGTGTAGTGACACCAAACCTGACATTTCACAAGAACAAATTGTCTTTCTTTTCTGGAAACGTTCCAATGTCTTGACTGCTGGATTCTTCTCAGAAGTGCTACGTTTTTTATTGTCGCCAAGAGGAGCTGTCTGTGAGGCTGCACAAGTTAACTGGATTTCTAAAATACTTTGAACTACTCTGCAAGTCTCCTCCAACCAGAACTCCTGCAATATTTGATAGATGTTCTATCTATCTCGGGAGGAGGTTTCCTCTTGGTTTACTATGTGATTGTTTCGTAAGCTATGACTGAATGTGTCCTTGCAGCTTTATGGAATGCCATACAGAAGCGTTGTATTTTTCATTTTTTAACAGGAGATAAAATGTGTCTAACTTATCGATAAAGCATGAGGGATGTGGAAATACCATTCAATACATTTTACTTTTATTATTTATATTATAGCAGTGACTAGATCAGCATAAAGAGGAGTCCATTGTCCAGATTTACAGTGAAAATGTTATTTTAATGGAGTAGTGTTTCTGGATTAAGGGCTATAATGCACTTGTCTGCTACCAAAAGAATTATTTGGAAAGCAAAAACCACATTTTTAGCAAACATTCTATAAAGGCAGGATAAGTACCCCATCATTTGCAACATTTGGGAAGAAAAATGTTTGTGGCTGCAAACGATGATGATAAACTCTTGCTGCCTCCCAAGTATGACATTTCTGTTTTTACAATACACATTTTCCTGTACATTTTTTTCTTAAAATGATTGTGTTCTGCATCCAAAAAGAGCAGGTTACATTATGATTGGATGTGAAATACAAAGGATGTGATTCACAGTTCATTGTGGCTTTTTGTCTAAAGCAAATGAGTCCTCAAATTGTTACCTGTATTTGTCTGGGGAAATGAGGTAACATGTTATTTGTTCAGCGGTCTGTGCTTGTTATCTGGATACAACATGGATGGTTTTGATTAGATGAAGGAAATTTAATCCTGTGTTTATGTCAAAAGACACGATAACACCCCAAATTTATTCTTTATAACCAGAGACTTTGGGGGGGGGGGGGGCAGGGAAGAGAGGAGGTTTTTTCCTCTGAGAAATAACAATCTTAATTTAGGTGTGAGAAGCAAGGGATATGTGACAAACAAGGGGGATGTGGATTAGGTGAAAGATGGAGATAAGTAACATGAGCACTACACCCAGCACCTTCCAACTAGCTATGCACAACTTGTACTGGCAGACTTTTTTCTTTTGCTTTTTAAATACATAAACATGAGTGGCAGAAGTCTCAGGGTGCCACCTTGATGGCCTGCTGTTGTTGATTGATAGTATACCATAAACTGCCGAGTCTAGATCTGTGCTGAGACCAGAGAAACACTTAGAGTCATAGCATTCTTATTTACAGACATGCATACTGAAGAGACAGAGATGTAAATGAAAGCGCAATTTACGCTACAAAGCTTACTTGCAAACACAGTTTTGAAAGAGACAAAGCAAAAAAATGCTGTAGTTTCCATTTTTCTCTGTGCTTAAAGATTGATCTTAGAAAACACGACTTAATTGGGAGGAGGCTTTCAGCAAGCTTTGGACAGGAATATTTCTGTATGCTTTTCTTCTATTTCTGCTTAGGCTGTATGAGCAAGACAAACATGCATCTCAACAAACCTTGTCTGCGTTTTATAAAACATGTGAGCTCCCTTGCTAAGGTTTTCTCCTTGAAAATACTGTTATTTCTGATTTCACCATAGCAACGAATAACTTGATATTTCCAGTGATCTGTTAGAAATGTCCCATTACTCTGTTGCGATATGAAGGCACAGTAAGTTCAGTCCTAATCTTTCTGGTTCTTCCTCCCCTTTTTTTTCCTCCTAGTTTTAATTGCCTTTTTAAATGTTTTAAAGGGATGTGATAACTTGGCTAACATACAAGTCGCCTGAACATGGAAGAGGCAGCCTGCAAATGCTGCTGTACCATCTCCCAAGAGATGTTGGTCAGTCTAGTATGTGAAACGGTGCTGGAAGGAAGCATCTGACTGTGAAGACCCACGAAATGGTTTGTGCCAGAGCAGCAAGGTATTAAGTCTTAGGTAGCTGTTAACATGTGCTGGGTCAGCAGTGGTGGGTGAAGCCTAGAGCTGCCAAGGAGTAAGTAAAAATGATTTACCCATGTTTCTTGTTTGAAATCTCTTCCTGGCTAAACAAGACTTTTAAAATTATCTCAGATCAAGATAGAATTGTTTTTGTTCTAAGCCAAGGCTGTCATCTCTAAAATACATTAAAACTGCTTCTAAGGAACAGTATGTATCTTCAAGGAGTGTGCCAAGGATGGTATTAGTAGAACCTGAGTTTGGAGAAAAAATAGTTGATGGCCATTGCACAAGTTTGCTTTTCAGTGTTCTTAACTGGCAAAATATAAGTATAGATATCCAGGACAACATAACTGGAAACTGGACTGAAACAGGTGTGAAACTGCACGCTGGCCTTAATGGTTTAGGAAGCCCTCCTGTGATAGACAAGCCACGGTTTTGCTCATCATTGCAGGTATAATGGGGGCTTGAGTACCCATCTCCCACCTCTGAGGCAGGTGTTCTAACACTCAGTTGAGTGCTAAGCATTAATGTTGTAGTGTTAAGGCATGTGGCATGCTTGTACTCTAACCCAGAGATCCAGCACCCAGGCTGGCTCTCCCTATTAAATTCAAGAATCCAGAAGTGTAGATAATCTTGGAACTAATACAGTCAAAAATATTTGTCATCCATACTGCGATACAGAACAAACAAATCAGTAGTGTAACATTGAAGACCAGAGCGCCTGGTCCTTGTTTTCTTCAGAAAAGTTCCTGCAGTGTGTAGACATGGGCATCCCACTAGTGCCAAGCAGTTAGGTGATTAAATTGCACTGTGCCCTGTTCATTGTTTCCTGTTGGCATTATCTGTATTGCCACACTTGTAGCATGTGCTGAAACAGATAAGGATAAAGTTTCATAAGGAAATAAATAGGGATAAGTTTTGCCTTGCTATCTTTTTCCCAATAATCTATTGGTTCGAGAACTCCCTGAGGTACAGGAGTCCCAAGTTCAAGTGGCTCCTATGTTAGACAGAAAGTTGGACTACCTTGCCTTTTATTGCTAGGTAATCATCTGTTCTGTGGTGTTGAGGAAATCGAACACCCTCGGCAGGACAGAGTTAAGTATTTGTTGTTCCCAGCAGCAGTGGTCAGCACAGCGGTTCCATGTGCTATCTGTGGTTCAGAATTAAGCAGCAATAGTGTTATTACACACCAATGCTACCTCTGTATTGCATCGCAGGATGACTAGGACTTGGCATGGATGCTCTCTGTGCTACCTAGCTGCAGTGGGCCTTGGCTTCTGCCCATCACTGATCAGTTTGTCAGTTTGTTGTGTGGCCCATCGGCTCCCATTAAAAGGGCTGGGCGCAGGTCACACATCTCTCCATTTACATGCTATCCCTGCCCTAGCAAAACATCACTCTCTCCTTAACCTTAACCAGAAACCTACCTCCACTGCGGGGAGCAAAGTGGAACTAGCCAACAAAGCTGTGTAGGGACAGGGGAAAGCAGCGGCAGGCAAGAGGAGGCTGTGCTGTGGTGCGGACATGGAGGGTTCCCTAGTCCTCTTCTACCTCTGCGGTGTGAGCCCATCACAGGGGGCATTAGGAGACAGGAGGGAGAAGCCCCGTTCTGCAGGCCGCTGCACCTCCCGGTCCCGCAGCCCGAAGGCTGTACCGCTCTGCGGGCACGTACTAGCACCGCTTCTGATGGCGCGGCCGCTGTGGCCCCCC